GGCGGCGGAGGGCGCCGCCTGGCGGCGCGGGCGGAAAGGGCGGGAGCCCCGAACCACAGAATTCCAGAGGGGATGGGGCTGGGAAAGACCCCGAGGTCATCGAGACCGACCTATGGCCCAACACCCCCATGACAACTGCACCACAGCACTGAATGCCACGTCCAGCCTTTCCTTCAACGCCTCCAGGGACTCCACCACCCTCTGGGCAGCCCATTCCAATCTCTAATCTGTGAAGAAATCCCTCCTAATGTCCAACCTAAACCTCCTCTGGTGCAGCTTGAGACTTTATCCTCTCATCCTGTCGCTGGTTGTCTGGGGAAGGAGGCCAAACCCCAACCAACTGCAACCTCCTTTCAGGGAGTTGCAGAGGGTGATAAGGTCACCCCTGAGTCTCCACTTCTCCAGGCTCAACAACCCCCAGCACCAAGCACCCGCTGTTCATCCTCCTGCCTCGAGCATCACACACCTCCCAGCCGCCCCTTCCACGGTACCTGCCAGGTGGGTGCAGTCCTCCTTCTCCAGCCTCGCTGGTGTCACCGCGGCAGCCAGCATCCATACCTGGTACCCACTCATACCCACTGCAGTGCGCCAGCCTCCAGACACTCTGTGCTTCGGACATTCACCGTGCTGGTAAGGCATTCCTGACTGCCCGACAGCTGTGGGTGTAATCCCTGGATTTACACATAGAAATAAAAAAAAAATAATGGATTTACTAATAAAAAAATCAGTCAAAGAAGTAAGTAGTGCTCCAGTGACAGCAGGTGCAGCTCCAAACACTCGGGTGTCGATGCAGATACCCTACCTGCTAGGACGACATGGAACGCTGCTGCCATGGCTGCACCCTCAGCCTCCGGTGGGATGAACTCGGCCAGCTCTTCCAGATCCCCTCCTGCTGTGTTTTTCTGACCAGCTCTCTTCTACACCTACATCATCTGCATCACCTCAGATGAGCAGTTGCACACAGTTTACTGTGTAACTGTTTCCATTGCCATCCAATTAATAAATGCGCAGTTGCACATTTTTTGTACACTCTTTACTGTGTTCTACATTAATGTACACTCTTTACTGTGTAACTGCTTCCACTGCCATCCAGTTAATGAACTGGTCACAGCCCCAGGTCTGCCAGTGTTAATTTGGACAGGCAGATGGTGTGACACTTGGGGCTGTCCTGTGCAGGAGCTGGAGCTCAGTGATCCTTCTGGGTCCCTTCCAACACTGGATATTCTTTGATTTTATTAATTTACTGTGTTATCAGTATGATATTTTTCCCCAATGCACAATCTTGTAGTTTCAGCTTGTTACACCTAATACACAAAAAGCTACAAAACCAGAATTTCGCTGCATTATTTGCTGGGCAAACTATACCTAACAAGAATCATAAATGCTGTTTTCATTTTGAGGCAGGTACAGGTCATTTGCTGGTTTTCATTTCTTTTTTTGTTGTATGATGGAGAGGCTAAAAAATAAGTGTAGCAAGGGAGTGATTTTATCTGCAATTACATTTCTATTTGTATGACAAGAACTCTAGTTTCTATAACACCAGTTTTTAGTTCTAGTTTTTATAATACTGCTCTAAAAAAGAGCAAAAATTTAGCCACTAAAATAATATAATAACTGCTTATTATTAGAGCAGTACTATAATGTTTCTGGGGAAAAAAATTGTTTACAATTTTTATTAGAAAAATTACATACACCATTCAAAATCCCTCCTGTTTCTCAGTAACAATTTTGTCTATCATCTTGAGACCCCATAAAATACTCTTAGACAACTGTGACAGAAGACAACAAAAAGAAATTATTTTGTACTCAGAGAAGCTGCAGATAATACAGTGGTGCTGCTAAAAGGTGCAATAGCCTGGGAAAAACTTAAACCTTGTTAGAAAATATTAACAGCTGTCTGAAATAGAGCAGAGAGAGACAGAAATCTGTTTTGAAAGATAATCAGTGCTCTGATTACGTATCTCCTACCCAAGGTTAGTGCTCCATTGTGAGTTGCAGCACAGCTCCTCATGTGTCAGAGAACATGGCATTAAAAAGGCTGTGCAAATTCTGATTAATGTAGTGGTTAATTGCTCACAGAGTGAGAGTCATTAAGTTGGAAAGGAAGTTTAAGACCATTGAGTCCAATCAATAACCTAGCTCTGCCAAGCCCACCACTAAACCATATCCACAAGTGCCACATCTACACATCTTCTAAATAACTCCTGGGATGGTGACTTCACTGCCCTGGTCAGCCTGTTCCAGTGCTTGACAACCCTCCCAGTGAATAAATTTTTACTGATATCCAATCTAAACCTCTCACAGCACAACTTCCTTTTCCTCTTGTTCTGTCCCCTATTACCTGGGAGTAGAGACCAACTCCCACCTGGCTGCAACCATGCTTTTAGGTAGTTGTAGGTGATGGTCCTCACATAGGCTCCTTTTCTCCAGGCTAAACAACCCCGCCTCCCTCAGATTTTCCTCAAAAGACCTGTGCTCCAGACAATTTACCAGCTTCGTTGGTAACATTCCACTTATTTGGAAACATTCCATGATGGTATTAATGTACTTGAAAAACAGGACAATCAGACAAATACAAAGAAAGCCTTCAGATTCTGGTTACTTATAATTCCTCTTGCTTCTTCATCTCTGTCCATTTTAGTACTCTATAACCTTTTCCTTTAGTTCCTTTTCTCCCTTGGTTTAAGCTCAGGCTTTGAATTTTAGCTTGTATTGCTGCAGTGCGGCATGTAAGACTTCACGGTTTGAATTCCTGCTTATGTCCAGGCATATCAGTCTGCACCATGATCTGCTTTAGTTTATCATCTCCTATGCATGCTGAGCCTCTGCTGGGAAAAAAAAAAATCTTTCTGTCTGTTTACAGCAGTTATAGTTAAGGAGTTCATGTAAAGACTCCTGTATCTTAAGACAGATTTGAGGTTTTTTTTCAGGACAGTATTCCTGTCTTTTTGGTCCAGGAGAATAACTCACCTGTCTATTTTTCTCCCTTCACCAGATGTGCAAGAAATACTTGTGAAGAGGCAGGGTCAGGGAAGAATTTATTTTAATCCAAAGAGCAGATTGTCTTCTACTGAAAAATGGGCAAACATTACATGTATTTCCTTAGATGCTATGTAACCTTTTAGGATGTTGAGAGGAAAAATTATTTACATATTAAAAGTACATGAAGGAAAAATGAGGCACAAAAATTACCTATCTTGGTCTTTGAAGTTAAGACTTGGTTGCATTTAATGGCATATTGGATAGATTACACAAAGTTGTCCCACTCCCACCAGCAACAACATCCCACAGCCTGTAAAAACATATTCTGCCTTGTACTAACTTTCAGTTTTCCGCAAGTTGCATTAGGAAGACAAGACTGCCTTTCCAAACAGGCATTTTGGTTCAATCTATACTGGCAGTGTTGCAGTACTGCATTTTTAGGCAAACCACCAGTGATGATAAGCCTGAAAGATGCATTGCCTAAGAAAGCTCCCCCCGAGCCTGTTCAGTGGGAGATTTGAGTAAATACAGCACAACCATACTGCACACACCATATCCAAGGATTTTCAGGCTGGGGCAGCCTCATCCACTAAACAACAACGGTGTGGTGCAATAGAGCATGCACAAACCAGTTCAGACTTGAAACTACCTTCTACATGTATTTGCAATATTTGTTACACTGGACTAAAACTTATTTTTTCCCCTTCTCTTAGGGAACTGTTTTCTGTGGGGGAGAAGGCTTGGATGCAAATAGTGCTGCTTTCCAAGGTAGGCACTACTAAGCTGATGAGTTTGAAGTAGTCTAACATCTGTTTTAATGGGATTATGTCTCTTTCCTTAGTCTCTAGGAGAATGGTATAAGCAGTAGCTGATTACCTAAAGCAAGACAGTTTGTTCTGACGTTTCTTGCTTGGGGCCCATCAGGGAAGGGTCCCCCCATGAGGTGGGCTCTGGTGGGACAACACCAGCCCTGAGGCTCTGCTCTGAGACCACACCATGCTCAAAACACAAACACACAGATCTAGACAACACCACTAAGGCACTCAGATGTAAGTACATACTTGTTTCAGGAACCAGGAAAATCTTGGCTGTGTGATTTCTTTTGTGGTAATTTAGCTGTTGCATTGCTATTATACATAAATCATCTTCAGCAATCTTTTTTAGTTCAGGATATTCTCAAAGATATGGGGGAATTTTCTAGAGGTTAATTGTTTTCTTCCATCAAATCTGTAGAAATTTGTAAATTAAACTGGTCAACACCAACTATTAGTGACCAGTGATGTAGGACATTGTTTTTAACTGCATGCTGTAAAACCATTGAAATAAACATGAGCATTCTAATCACTTTTACGACGTTTATCAAATCTCTCCAGTAAAGCCTTCCATATGTTGCCTGGGATTGTTTGGTGCTTGCTTATGAGAGCCTGGACAGCAGCCTTTGTCTGAAAAGAAAAGAGAAATTTGTCTTTACAGACCTATTTTATGCATGGAAGAACAGTATAATCACTAACTTCTCAGAGGTTCAAGAGAGAAAATTCACACATAGCTCTACTGTCAGAAAAAAAATGTGTTTTATATTAACTAGCTGTCCTAATGACACATTTCTTGAAAAAGAAAGGAATAAAACAATGACTGCAGTTTGGGTAGGCTCAAATTATTGAGATTTATAAAATGTGGTCATTACTTAGTCAAAGTAGCCTTTAATACATGCAAACATTAAGTCTCTGCAATCTCCCAACCCTGAGAATGATGGGTAAAGTCTGGCTCACCTCATCTGATCTTATAGCTGAGCTATCTTGGACTAGGAGTTTGGAGCAGAAACCTCTGTCTGTCCTTCCCAACATGAATTCTCCCATAACTTTATCATATACAGCATGCACATAATAAGAAAACTCATAATACTCTTTACATGAGATTCAAATGCAAGTTTAGGAAGAGAATCAGCACATTATTCTATATTTCTAAAATAAAATAATAAAATAGGAAATTGTCTCCTTTTGGTTTCCCTCATGTATTTAAACTTGAAATAAGGGTAGCTACATACTCCACTGATCTACCCCAGAGTTATAGTAGAATATCATTGTGAATATAAGAAAAGAGTAGAAATCTTTCCTGATAGATTCATGTCCTAAATCCTTTGCAGGGCAGGATCAGACATAGGTCAGCCAGGCCACTGCTCACCTCAAACCTCATTTAAGTTGCCTTTTTTTTAAGCAATATCAGCCACAGAGTGGCTAACTAAGTGGGTGGTGGTCAAAGGGGGCAGCCAAAGGCTTGCCTTAGTAAGGTAAATCAATATAATGGGAAATTTCAATTTCACTTTTGTGGGTATACAAAATGCTGTTCCCCTAAAACACCAGAATATGAATAGCCATAAGGGCAGTCATATTGCTTCCAGCCTGCTAAAGGTGCTAAGACCAGACTCTACAGCTTCCTGGGGCTGTTCCCTTGTAACAGACCAAACCTGTCTTTCTGGTTTTACTTTTGTGAAGCTCAGAACAACCCGAAGCAGACCCTTAAAAAAGGAGAAAAGAAAACAAAAGAAGAAAAGCTAGCCTTGATGAATCTTTTGGGGGGAGGGGGCGGGCAGCACGGTGTTTTTTAATAAGTTATCTCTGACTGTTCATTTTTTTATGTATTTATAGGTTGTAGAGAATTTTTTTTTTCCTCCAAATCCTCCTTTCATCTTCCATGAAAAATTTTAAAGTTGTCTTTTCAGTTTAGCTTAATATTTTGAAAAATGCTTAAACTCTAGATCTATAAACACCTTTATGCTCCTGGGCATCACTAATTTCATCAAACTGTAGGTACTCAAAATATTTTTATATTTTGGATGCAACTTTTTCACATTTTCATTCTGACAATGAGACTGAAGCTCTAGTAGAATTTTGCTTCTAGAGCCCTAGAATCAGTGAAGATTCTCAAAGTTATTTGTTGTTTATGAAATTTATTTTCATAGTAACTGAAAACTGCATTTAAAACATAATTTATGTCATTTCAGATATCACAATTATTATCAAAGTTATCAAAGGCATGGGAGAAACAAAGTTAACATAAGAGCTCATACATTTTGAAAGGATGAGAGCATCCCAATCAACTGTTACTATATCAATATTTACTGGTAGGTATTTGTACATTGAATAATCCCAAACCTCAACTGCCCATAGCTTTAACAAGCTAGTAAAAGTGTATTTGTCTTTATCCAAGCATGCAAAAGACTGGTTTCAAGTGCACCTATAGTAGAGGGCAAAGTATGTAGTTCAGTATCACAAGGAGAGAGAACTTACCTTTTCAACTAATTCCTCTGTAGTTATGTTCGGATCGTAAGGGATTGGCTTCCCAATGTATGTGCGAAATTTAACTGGAAGCCCTCCGTATGGAGGAGTAAAGGGCAATCGAGTGCTTTCATATAACTGTCTAAAAAATCCTGAAATGGTTTATGGGAGGAAAAAGTGAGATTACAGTCACAGAAAACACAATCCAAATGTGAAATCCGATTAATGTAGAAGACTTCTTAAAAATGCATGCTTTATTTGACAGTCAGGAAGTTGTTACAGGATTGAGGCAACTGTCCACCAAAACAAAGCTTGATAGACTTAATAGGCCAGAGACATAAGGTTACATTAAAGAACCAAATCACACACACAAACCAGTTATGCACAAGCTATTTCCAAATTTGAGCTACCTCTGACCCACAGCAAGTGTTAGAGAATCCAAAGCAAGCAAAAGTCTGAAAAGCAAAGTCTAAGATAAAAGTAACAGAAATCTGAGAGAAAGGAGATAAAACATTCCAAAAGAGAAAATATATGTTTAAGTTCTTACTTCTTTCTTTAAACATCCTATAGCCTTCACGGACATTCTGAGTATACATTGGAATGATGGGCTAAGGAGGTATAAAAAAAAAAATAAAAAAAAATGAGAATGTTATACCAGGTTTGAATTTCTGCTTTAATGATTGTTAGTGCAGCTAAGAAAATCACTCAAATATAGAGGGTAATTATTAGTCAGTTAAGCAGTAAAAAAGGAGTCTTGATTTAAAAAATTCCAGAATATAAATAAAATGCTATTTTTCAGCTCCCACAAACATCTCTTTTAAAGTCACTATCTGTAAATAAAATGACTGACATTGTATTAGGTTTTCTATAACATCTATGCTATGCATTTACTGCAATATCACTGACTGGAACATAAAGCAAATTTCCACAGTTTTTCTGTCTAAAGCTTTCATCGTGAGTGGTGAATTGGAAAGTATTCAGTTCGTGAAGTCTTGCAGAAAGCAAGCAGACATTCACAGTTGGCTCACCTCATCTGCTTCTCAAACAGGCATAACTGAACAGTAATGCTTGGATAAAATTTCACTGGAAAGGACTTCTGCAGATCCCTGAGACAAAAAAAAGGCAATTGTGTGTCCTCACTGACCTGGACTACACACCTTCTGGAGGGCAGATCCTTTGGCACTTACAGAACAAGTTCACTTCATCATTGTGACTGAAAAGAAACACGCTTGAGATACCTGCACTTGTCATGCCTTACAGCCTGAGGTAAGATTTCATAGTTTGTAGACAAACTGACAGTAATTGTATCCCTACATGCAAAGAGGTTTTTTTTCTCCTCTATTGTCCCTTTTCCTTTTTCTGAAACTCTAATTTGAACAGGTTGTTGGAACAACTTGTCAAGAAGACTTTTGTACTGTTAAGAATCACTACCACAGAGAAGAAACTGCAGGATGAGAAAAAAACAAGCAAGAGAAAAGACCTAACTAGACCTTACCAAACAACTCATAGTGATAGAAGGCATTAAAAGGAAAAAATACCCAAGAGAGAACAAAAGTATCAAACATGCATAAAGCTGTAATAGTAAACCTTTCGGAATGCAGAATTAAGGGAAATTGTTAGAAATAAACCTTTAGAAAGTAATCAGTAATGTATTTTAAAAACATATAAGTACTGGACACTAAAAATACCATACTTTGTTTCAGCTATTAATTGAATACTGTACATCTAAGATGCTAAATGTTTGAAACCTGTCTATCACAAAACACTTTAAATTTAAGGAATAGTACAAGAGTAACACATGGTGGGTTATAAAGAAATCTGGCAACTACAGAAGTTACTGTCATACAATGATCAGCCATCAAGGTGCAGGGTAGGCAGCAATGTTCGGTCCCTAAGCTGGAAAACACAGGTATACACATAAAATCTTACATTTGTAAAGCAGCACAAACAGATCTGCAGTAACCCACATATTCATATTTTCTGTGCTGGAACTGAGCTGGATCACACCCAGCCAGCTTGAAAATCACAGAATTACAGGGTAGTTGAGATTGGAAGAGACCTCTGGAGATCATATAGTCCAAAACCCTTAGAAGGGTTCTTCTCCATAGAAGAGAATTTTATAAATCAAAGCTCCCAACCTTTCCTAATTCAACTTGAAGAAATTTTTTGGCACAGATAGAATTCAGGGATCTTCAGAAATTATGATCCCTCCCTGCTAGCCATAGACAGAGAGTATTTCTGAAGGTCATGGATGAATTTTACTGAGACAAATATATGTACACTGAGTAATACTATTAAATAGTAACAATCTCTGACTCCTGTTAAGTAGAGCAGTTACACAAAATGAAATGTGGAAACTGTACAGGTAAAGACTGAGGCTGAAAATACCTTCCTTGTTTGCTTTTATTCAACTTTTTCAGTGGAAGAACCATTGAACTTCTGTAATATTATATGATGGATGGGAATGTCTATTCATATATAAAGAAGGTTTTGTCTTGAAATCCCTATTCAAGTAATCTGTGACAGGTTATTAACCACCACGTAGTCATTTTGATAAAGTGTGTGTAGTTCTTTGGTTGATGGTTACACTGTATGTAAAGAAATTCTTTAAATACCCTTATAATTCTATCTTGCTTTTATTCATGATATCTGTGTAACTATTAGCAAATTTATATTAATTGCTACATAATAGAACAAGTTATGATGTTTGAACGAGTGTATCCCCAGTGTATTTGGGTTTTGTGGCCAGAATTTGGTAGAGGGGGAGGTACAGATTTTGGTAGAGGGGGAGCTTCTTCTGTGAGAAGCTTCCAGAAGCTTCCCCCATGTCTGGCAGAGCCAATGGCAGCTGGCTCCAGCACAGACAAGCTGCATGCCAAGGCCAAGCCTATCAGGAATGATCATAACAACTCTGTGATAGCACATTTAAGAAGGAAAAAAAATAAAAATATTGTGCATATGTAATTGCAGACAGAGAAGAACAGAGTGAGAAAATGTGAGAGGAACAGCCCTGCAGACACCAAGGTCAGTGCAGAAGGAGGGAGAGGAGGTGCTCCAGAGCAGACATTCCACTGCAGCCCATGGTGTGGCAGCCCATGGAGGACCACAGCGATGCAGAGACCCACCTGCAGGCCATGGAGGAGACCCAGACCAGAGCATGGATGTCTGAAAGAGGGCTGTGTAGCTGTAGGAAACCAGTGCTGGAGCAGGCTTCTGGCAGGGGTCTGCACACCCACGGAAAGAGAAGCCCATGCTGGAGCAGGTTTCCTGGAAGGACTTATGACCCTAAGGGGGACCCTCGCTGGAGCAGGCTGTGTCTGAAGGACTGCACCCTGTAGAAGAGTGACTCACATGCTCATGAAGAACCTGTTGCCAGGGGGATGGACTCAATTTGAAGTTTGTCTTCTGTGGGATGGACCCCGTGCTAGAACAGGAGAAGGACTTCTCTCTGAGCAGTGGCAGAAATAATTGGCCATAGCCTCCATTCCCCATCTCCCTGCACCACTGCAGGGAAGGAGGCAGTGCCAAGAAAAGAGAGGTGGGACAAGAGGAGTTACTTTACTTCTCATTGTCTTGCTCTGATTTTGTTACTAATAAATGTAATTAATATCCCTAAGTTGAGTCTGGTTTGCCCATAATGGTGTTCCAGTGAGTGATTTCTCCCAGTCTTTATCTCAACTCATTAATCTTTTGCTTTATTTTCTCTCTCCTGTCCACTTGTGGAAGGCAGTGATAGAGAGGCTTTGATGGGTGCCTGGAATCCACTACACCCCAGTCTTTGGTCAGCCTGGAAGACTAGTCTGTCCAGTATTGAAAAGGATGCAGCAAGGACAAGCAATCAAACTTGAAATGTGTCAAAACATGGGATCCAGTAACTACTACAGGCCTAACATTATATAAGAAGTGATAAATCAAGGTTAATATTGCCCCCTCTACTGTTAAATGCACAGAAGACCTGTTTGTTTGGGGTTTTTTTAAAGTGTTTAGTTATCTAAGGTTTGTCTGATTCCAGATTTCCAGAAAAATATCAATGATGCTCAAAGTTCAGTGAAGCTTGCAAGCTAATTACAGCAATGTCTACCATAAAGGGATCTGGTCAGAGTTCCTGACCATAAAAAAAAAAACCCACAGAGCTGAATGAGGGTAATAATAAGAGTTATAAGATATATAAGATATAAGAACCAGCAGCACTGTAAAGGCAAGCCCAGGCTAGTAGCTGTCAAAGGATAATACACTCTCTCTGCCCTCCTGGTAACTGTCCTGCAAAGTGCCTGTTTTACCAAACATTACTCAAAGGGCCACAAGACCCTTTCATACTGCAAGAACCTTACCCTCAAAGAATACCCAGTTCATTAAATAAAATCCTAAAAACCTCTATCAAAAACCAACCACAAATTCTGTCAAGAAAAGGAGGCAACAATTTTAGGTACTACTATTCAGTTATTTCCATGTGCTTCTATATTATGGAAGACTGGTAGAATCAGGAGAATTACTGGCAAGGATTCTTGTGATGTGTTTTGATCAGGGTGGCAATCTATTTAAGGGCACTCAGAGTTTTTAATTCAATTTTTATTTAAAAACACACAACCTGTTACACTGTATTACGGTAAGGTTCCAGGTGAAGGGAGAACATCTGGCAAAAGTTTGTCCAGATGTTTGAAGTAGCTTGAAAGACAGAGATGAAAGCAAAATCAGTAGAAATCTCCCATGTTTTTTAAGTGACAACTCTAAGTGTTTCAGCATATTATTCATTTAATTCATAAGGAGACTATTAGGAGACAAAATGCCCATATGAATTTCACTGAGTTTATCCCATTCACATTCTGACACTTTCCCAGCAGTGGTGGTGTACAGGCCCACACAATATATGTATACCATATATATATGGTATAATATATGAAGTACCATGACTAACACCTACCCTTTCAAGAGAAAGGGCAGGAAAGGGAACAGAAACACATAAAACCTGACTATTAAAAAACCACATAAGACAAGACCTGGAAACAAGATTCCAGGCCTAAAATTACTTTATCAGTTGGGTAAGTGCCCCTAAGTTTATTCTAGTGTTTAATTATCTCCCCACAATAATTTAGAGATGGAGTTATGAAGAAATATTAACCTGAAGTGTGCATCTTCAGATCCTTTGTACTGGGAGCTACAGCACAAGAGACCAAAACAAGGTTTGAGAAGCAACAAATTGGGTGAGGTTCAAAAGAGATAATGGCACAAAAATCTGAAAGGCATGTTAAGAAATTAAAGTTTCATGGGAAGAACTCAGCTCCCTGTACAGCTTCTCCTATATAGACAGGAAACTTTATGTGGAAGGTCTAAGAGCACTGTAATTGATGAGATATTCATAAGAATGTGAGGAAAAAGTGATGGTTGTGCAATTCATGAGAAAGCAGTAGAAAGTGCATGGCAGAACAGAGAAAGCCTGGATTTGCACCAGGATTGTCAGACACAAAATACAATGCTAGGTCTAAATTAAGGAAGAAAACTTGTCTTTAGAGGTGGTGATGATGAAGAGAAGTGGCAGTCAGGAAAAAGAAGACAGGGTTGCTGCTCTTTCAGATGCATGCCATCCCAAACAAAATAATTTCCCAGAGACTGTATCAGAAAAGCAGTCTTCCACATAGATTTAGATGCAAGTCAGAGCTAGTGGTAGAAAGTTGTATTTGTAGATCATCATCCATATAGAAACTAACTGAAACCTTGGCCATGAGTACATTGGTGGAGTGCAGATCAAGAGAAGCACATGTCTGGAAGATGCTGAGAATCTGACATCCACATTTAACACATTTCAGTGCTCTGTTTTTATGTAGAACTAATTCTTGTTTGGCATCATTGGCTGAAAGACCATTTGACACGGGAGAGTATTAGGTTCCAATTTTGGTTTAGTTTCAGCTAGAAGAAATACAGCTCCAGTATTCTAACACATTCCTTGATATGAATGAAAGCATGGTGAGGGAAATGCAAAAACTGCTTCAAAAATGCACATATGATTCATCAGGCACTGATGTAGACAAATATTGAGTTAGTTGATGCAATCTTTCACATACATGAAGAAAAGTAAAAGTAAGGACAAAATACTAGAGCCTCCCAGAATAAATGAGAAAAAAAAGAAGGTTAATACATTAAAGAACAACAATAAAATGGTTGGCTGTGTGGAAGTAAGACAAAAATGTAATTTCTATTAGGATGTGAAAAAAGAATGAAACCTTAGGGCAGTGTGGAGAAGGACCACAGTGAAGACTCTTGAAATACAGTCAATATGAAAGACTGGATGCCTGCACGATGAAACTGTAGACATGGAACCACAGAGATGGTTTGAAATGGCCAAGAAGAAGTTTGACAGTTCCACAAAACTCTTGCTCCTTGTGAATTAATGTGCTCGAGGAAGGAGATGGAAAAAGGAAATGGAATCTTTACTTCCCAACCATTTCTCCTGGAAGGTTTTCCAACAAATGCTCCTAAGCTGCATTTTATAATCAAGCAGATATGCAGAAAGCATGTGCTGGGATTGGTAACATATGGCACTTACCACTTTTGCTTCTAGAGCGACCTGAGCAAAGCCTTTTCGGTTTCCCCACATGAGCTGATAACTTTCGTCACTGAACAGCGCTTCTCGAACTCCACCTGGTGAGATGGACACCAAGTATCCATTCTTCAGTGCACCAAGACACTCCTCCCTCGTACCTGGTATCACACCTGTCACTCCCAACAACAATTTAAGTCCTGAAACAAATAAGTAGCAAACGTACATTTAATATAACAATATATGTCCCAAATACTGTTTGCATATCAGAGACAGATTACAGCTAAATTAAAATCTAGTAGCTATATATTTAAGCTAAGACAAATTTTTACGAAGGAAGGAAGACACCTACAGAGTAAATGCTGGCAAAATGTCAAATATGTGACAATATTTGTGCCCAATATTATGACAATGAACCATCTTGTCAGGAACATTTCAATTAAAAAATTCCTCCACATGCTATCTTCCATAATTATCACCCAATTTATGTCAACAAAACTTGTGGGTCATAGCTAGAAAACTAAAAATAAGCATCTATTCTTCTATCCTTCTTTATATATATAATAAAGATTATTACAAAAATAAATACCTGACAAGCAGCTATTTTTGGTCTTCTTTTAAAATGTGATATTCAACACTTTAAACATTGAGGTTTTGAGTTGTTTATTTGAGTATTTTGTGGTTAAATTGCCATCTACAAAACTGTGGATCAAATTGAACTGTCCTAAGACTCTCAAGATGCATGAATGACAAAAGCTAGCAGGGCAATTTCAGCACCACATGAATGAATCATGAATGAATTCACCACAGTGAATCTCCTTCCTCTGTTTCCATAACTGGGAATTCTCTAAAAGACAGCTTGAGACCCATAGAAATACTCTACGCTTTCTAATATTTTCTTCATATTTTAAATATATCAGTTTGGAGCTCTGATAGAAAGCAAACAAGTATTTCCACAATCTTCAAATTCCCTGTTCAAACAGCATAGTTTGAAAATATTTTTTTTTTATATTAATAAATAGAAGCAACAGCTCTGGGCTGACAGAGGTCTGCGACAAAAACTTTGGAAGACAGTGGATAACACAGTGCTAAATCTTGTAATTTAATTGTATTTAATCTTATTTAGGGTGTCATGCTTGACAGATCTTTCTGTCAAAGGCAGATGTTGACTTTGTTTAATCCCTTTGTGAACTCAGAAACAATTCTGTTTTATCCTAAAGACAGGAATGCCATATTTTATTAAGCAAAGAAGTTCTTCATTTGCTTGGCTTTAAAACTTTGAGAATTATAATATATCACATGAAAATATTATCACTTCTTTTCCAGGTCTCACAGAATTTCTTATTCCTCAGCCATGCAAGGCTTCTGTCTGATGTCCTAGCTCTTCAAAGTAAGCAGTGCCACACTTCTGAATCATCTTTGTCTTTTTTTTTGTAACTTTATTACTTAGCAGCTATTCTGAGATGGAGAGAGTTAGTAATTCACAAGAAGAATTCTCCTGTAACTGTAGTTAATCCTGTAAATAAATTGAGGTCCAGGATATGCTCATGAGCATTCTAAAGAACCAATCTGTGAAGTGTTACATTTCTTGGCAAAAAGTAAGCATAGTAGAGCAAGAGAAGGTTAGGGAGAAATTTCACTTTTAGCCACACTCGACTAATGCAATGGGGAAGTCTAACTTTAATTATTTATAGCCTTTTTTACCAGATGTATTTTCATAGTCCTTTTGAAGGCTGACACAGCATTTGCCACCTTTTGTTGCTCTAGCATGAGTATAATGCAATCAATATGTTATGCACACACCAGTCGTCCAGAAACTGCGCAGCTGAGAGTGTTGCTAACAAATGTGTACTTTATATTTGTAATAAAAATCTGTGCTAGGGACACTTCAGTTTGAACATACCCTCTTATTTATCCTTTAAAAAAGGAGTCTCCATTGAAATATTTTGCTAAACTTTCTCATTTTTTGAGGGCGCTCTTAAAAGCCAATCATCTTTTGATATTTTCTTACTTCTGATGTGCTCTGTGTTACTCAGTATTTACTAACTATGCCTCAAGAAAGTTATTGTCATCTTTCTAGGAGTGCCTGAATATGGTTTTAGCATCAAATAGTACTTGCTTTCAGGAAAACTTTGTTTCCTGAAGAGTGTCCTTCTGCTTCTAAATAGCGTCCTTTATTCTCTATATTGAAACAGCTTTTAATTTAGCAGCATAAAAGTGTCTTTAAATAATTCCCTTGCTATTCTTTCTTTACTCTTCTTTATGGCTTGTTTTTCTAAAATTTAATTATCTTTGCTTCTCTGTATCTTCTCCTGACCAGTCAGCACTGGGTCAATAGTAGAGTCCTATCCAGCATTTTGTACTGAGGGATGACATTTCATCCCAAAATGATTATATCTCTATTTGTTGGCTTTGGAGGGTTTACCAATGTTTTCACTGAAGACAGGATATGCTTCCTTGTTTTTCCTGTTACATCTACCAACTTTTAATTTAAATTTAATTTAACTTTTAATTTAGAAATGTGAAAGCAGTCTTTTAGTTTAAAAGCTCTTTTTCAAGTACAGTAAAGTTCACCAAAACCAGGACAGGTTGGGTGAATCCAGGAAGCTTAAATACATGTTCTTACCTGGTAAACGAAACACAAAATGATCAGCTACTGACAGACAAATCCTTTTTTTCCAGAGAAACAGCCTAGACAAAAAGTAAAGGTAGTCTATAGGAATAGCTCCATGGTAATACACAAGAATGCCAGGTCCTTCTGGGAGGTTTTCCACACCATGAAGCTCATAACCTGTTTGGGATGGAAAGCAATACATTGACAATGATATCTGTAAATCATCTGGCAGTTTAAAGAAAAAAATTTACTGTCCTTTGTTAAATGACCTTCAGAGACTTGTGAAAGCCTCTGTAGTAGCTTTCAAAATAATTAAGTTCTGGATGGATCTTTTGGTCAATAGCACAGACAAAGTCCCTCAAACACCACAGCTTATTACTAGACTGCTTTGTTGGTCAATTAAATCATGAGATCAGACCTGAACCTGACATTTTCCCCAGTAAGGGCACTAAAATATTTATTTCCCATTAGGAACTTTTTGTAAATAGTACAATAATAATATTTTTTTTAAAATTAGTAACTAGTGTGAAAATGCTTCATTTTCAGAAACAGAGGCAAACAGTCTGGATACTTTTCCTGAAATCTGGAAGTATGAATCTCCATTCTGTGTCAAGGAGAATGAAAAGTTTGGGATTTTCCATAATAAAGTGTTCCTCTTTTAGAGAAGGTGAGATGTTTAAATTGAGGCCATAATATATAAGAATCCCAAAGAGAGGTTCTCTCCACAAGGGTTGTGTGTTCACTTCACAGTGGGAGGGAATTTCCTCACAGACATGCACTTCTATGAATCCTTGTCATGACTCTTCCTACATCTGGTTTAGGTTTTGGGTGGAGTCATACTAGAAGACTAATGTATACAACAACTTGGGAAAGACACAGCTTTTGCCAACTAAAATCTCTGTTCCACCTTGTCTGCCTTCATTTCCATCCCTGCTACAGCTCCTGCCATGAGCCATTTGGATCGGATTAGAGTAGGCAGAGACCTAGGAGGACACGGAGAAAGTTTTATACTGCAGGATGTTCAAAGAAGCCATACAAAGTATTATAAATGTAACTTATTTGCATCCATTTGGAAAAAAAAAAATTAAAATTTAAACTTCTGTGAATTTATCACTTACTGTAATTCCAAGCCTCAGACAAGTCATGTCATACTTACCATGCCACACTCTTGCATATATATCCCAAAAGCTTGCTATAGTTTTTCTCATATCATTCCAATCATCACTCAAGGGATCTCCTTTTAACTCATTGTTCCTCTGATAGATTAAAAGCAAAATATTAGTAAGGTAAATGAAAAAGACAATTGTTAAAGGAACTATAAAAAAAACTAATATTGCACTAATTGTCAGTGAGCCAACGATCACATGAAAAAGGTATTTCTTCAGGAACTCCACAGCAGTCCATTCTTCCAATGCATAGAAAAGGCAGCTGAGGTTGGTCATTGGTATCTGCCCTGAAGCACAGGATTCTTTTCTACCTATCACGTCCTGCAGGGAGAAGAAAAAAAAAAACAAAAACAAAAAACAAAAACAGCTGTAGTTTCTCAGTTTAGGAAGGTTTCTGATGATCTACCTGATGCTTATTTTGGTATAGCGCAGGTTCAAACATTTTGTGTCTCTCTGTCATGCTAAAATAACTGCTGGCTAGGAGATTATCCATGTATTTATGGAATAGGGGCTGAAACAAGAAGGGCTGGAGTTCAACAAAGCCTCAGCATCCCTGCAACATGGCTGATCAGATGATTTCTCTCAAAATAGGGTAAGTGGATAGTATTTTTAGCAGCATTAGCCAAGACTGCTGCCAGTATCTCTGCAAAGATATCCTCTCTAGAGAGTCCAGCCTGGGCTTCTTCTCCCTCTCACTTTGGCAGCAAGAGGATCAGACAATGGAGTGAGCAGCTGAAGGGACAGCAAGCAAAACCGAGGAAGTCATGGCTTTTTCACAAGGCCTGGTGGTGTCAGGGACAACACTTGGTACTGCTGTAAGCACCGAAAAAAACAGTTTCCACCCCTCATCCATACAACCCCCCTTTCCTTCAGATCTTCCAGCCCTAGCAAAGGCCAGGAGAGCTCCATGGCCCTATTGATTGTTTTCCACATGCAGCTCCCTAGCTAGCCCATTCCTACAGCTGACCCTGCCTGCCTGACAGCAGGTAGTGGTTACACTGGAATGCAAGAGCACTCCAGCATCGCTGGCTGCTTTTAAGATTCTTGAACATTAGCCAGACATTTAAACATTGCAATCCAGCTCAGTAATCCATAACTGAATACAGATTTTCCTTTCCTCAATCAGGTTGCTACTTGTTTAACGAGGGGATTTTTCTGCTCCAGCACCAGAACAAGTACCTACAAGAAACAAATCCTAAGTTCCAAAGTCAGTGCCAAGATCATGAAATACAGCAAGCTCAGACTTCTCTGACTTTACGTCTTCAGCTGCGTACTTACATGAGCAAACCCGCTGTACACTTTTGTTTTCCTTCTTTGAAGCTTTGAGTGGAATATAGGGGTGGACTGGTGCAAAGCACAGCTCCCTTCAGAATTAGGGATGACAAGGAGTACAGCAAACAGCAACACCGGAAAGCAGCCATGAAAAAGCACTAGTCTAACATGCATCAGGGCAAGCAAGCCCCATGGCAAGCCCTGCAGAATAAGTCGCTGCAGTAGCTATAAATTTGGTCTCACACATGCCAGTGAAATCTGTCCTTATCTCAAACCCTTTGAACTCCACACTGGCCGCCAAAAAGGACCACTTGATTTAACCCCAGCAGCTGAGCACCACACAGCCACTCACTTGCTCCCCACTGCAGTGAGATGGGTGAGAAGATTAAAAGTGAAAAAACTCTTGGTTTGAGGCAAAGGGCAGTTTCTTAGGTAGGGCACAAGCTGGAAGGATAGTAAACAAAAAGGAAGCAAGCACTGTTAAAAGATGCTCCACATGGAACAAACAAATGAAATCAGTATGAAAAAAAAGTAAAATAAGAAAAAGAATTAGCATGGAATTGCTTATATCCTAACGACTGGTGCCTCACTAAGATATGGGAAGATCTGAACATTTTCACTGAAAATAGATTTTATCAATAACATGAAAGAAAAAAGGAATAGTCTGCATCATTCAGATATTAATTTATGTTAGACAGTGTTTAAGAAGGATAAAACTGATGGTGCAGTGCTACTTTATAGTAAGTTATTGTTTGTAAAGTTCTGATAAGAGCAAGGACTACAAATCCTCAATGAGTGCAAAGCATGCTGTGCTGACAGAGCCCAGGAGAAGGGCATTTTAAGGGGGCTTGCCTCAAGCTACTGAATCAGAAATACTGAGCAGTACCTGGAATAACTTGTTCAGCCTGCAACATAGGGTGAAGAAAGAGTGGATTTTGTATTGTGATTGGGGGTTCGGATCTGGAACACAGACTACTACAGCCAGTAGAAAAAGTGTTCTAAAATCACATGCAAAATGTCTGTATCCATAGCAAGTGCATCAATAATAACCCCTATATGATATGGGGATTAATTTGGATATAGATCACTGATGAACAAGAGATCATACAACCTACCAACAAGATTTAAAATTATTCCAAGCATGAGTAATTGCAGACTCAACAGCCAGATAAACTTCTGGCAAGATAACTGAGAAGTTGGTAACTGATGCCACTCATTCTAATTTTATGGGAAACAGACCTTGTAAACAAATTCACCTTCATTCTTTAAAGAAATTAGAGGTTTAATAGCTTGTACAGATTTCATGCACATATATTTTTAACAGGAGCTCTTAAAGAGTCATTTAAAGTCTCACATGAACTGCAACTTGAAAGTCATCCTTCCAGCAGTCCTTCCCGCTATGTTCTTGCCCCCAGCCTGATCTCCTGCAGGATCCCCTGGCTCCCTGCTAAAGGGAGGCCAGCAAAAATGCTGGCACAAGAAAAATCACTCTTGGGAACAGCCCAAACTTAGGTTGGCATATGAGTATTATGCAAGTATATTACCAATGCCACTTGGCATTTTTATTAAAAAATCAATCTCTTTTAAATGGAGCACATATGCAATGAATGTCGTCATCGACTAGAATGACAATAAAATATCCATCAGTACTGGAATCTCTACCAAAGGAGAGCTGAATCTGTGCCCTACATCATTCAGCATTTTCAGAATTTTCTTCCAATTTTAATAGGATGTTTACATTGATCAATTTTAGCAATGTAACATTCCACTGATTGCTCTTCCTCCAACCCAATTTTTATGTAGTACAGAATCACTTTCTGGCTGGAAAACAAATACCCTTAACTTTGTTAGCTCACAGACTACAGTATAAATTAACATCTTAACTTATTAATTTCTGATTATAAGTTCAATATAGACACCAGAAAATAGCTTTAGAAAGAAAGTAAAATGCACCAATGTGCAAAATCATTTTGTTTGTTTTTTTTAACCTACAAAACAGATTTAACAGTACATAGTTGATCAAAGACATCTGAAAGTAATTGTGTAGGCACAGAGTGGGTTCATCTTCTGCCAGGTAGCTGGATGGGTAGGATTCAAGCTAATTCAGCATCATTCCAGCTGAGTCCAAGGGTAGAAAAAGAATAAATTATTGACCAATTGAGGAAAAACTAAAAGCAGCATGGCTTTTTCTGGAAATTTGGTACTGTGGTTCAGTTTCTGCTCTCGCAGTTCAGTTGCACACTACCTCAAATATTTCATAAGGAAAGAATGAATTCCAATCACTGAAACCTGGACCCCGGTATTTGGACTATATGATGCAAATCCAACATGGTAAATGCATCCCTCTAATGTCAGTATAACATCAAAGGGCTACAACAGGACAGGACTTCTATTTTTCCATGGCTATGTCTCACCAATCCTCTGCTGAAACCACAAGTACAATTTTGAAGCATTCTTTCTATCAAACAACATATATGAAATTATTACAACTATATGAGTGCCTATTGCAGGCCTGTTACTAACAACCTCCTTGACTATGCACTAGGAGACAGTGCAGGTGGGTCACCACAAAGCAAACACATTTACTTATAATGGCTTTGGTTTTCCCCAAATGTAAAATTAAAGAGAGAAATTTCTCTTCTGCTTTTATCAAATCTGAGCCAGGAGCAGCTCCAATGTGCTTTAATACTGAATATCCTCTAAAAGGTTAGCAAGTGGGTATAGTGTTGTGTTATTAAAAAAAAAACAACAAAGAAACATTTTTTAAATTGCCTACATTTTTCTCATCTTATCTAGTGATGGACTTGAAGCTACTGTTCTGAGTGGTTTCATTGTTCTTACAGAGAACAACATGTGTGTTGACATGTGAGGTATTTGTTTGGGCTCCACCTATAAAGCATATCGAATTCCAGAGTAATCACTGTATCTACACCTGTAAAATTATAGGTGATGTCAGAGAAAGACAGAACTACTGTGAAAGGTGCTCCCCTTTCAACAAAAGTCTCTTGTAGTACAAGGCGTTTAGATCCTAAAGTCTTGCTGAAGCATCATTTGCTGATAAGGATAATCTTACCAACACTATAATCCCAGGGAAGAACAAAGCTGTCACAAGAGACCTATTACAATAAAATTAAAACCTTGTCACTGGCTTTCAACCATGATTGAAGAGTCATCATCTTGGTCCTGCTGCTCAGTAGTTTGTTCTTGGCAATAAGTGTAGCAGAGCATAGTGAGAAGATGCTTTACCCAGAAGCGAGTGCAAAGCAACTGCAGAATTTTGGAGAGAAAATTTTTTGACACTTGCTTTCTTGTGACAGGCTCCTACTCTTCACTTAAACTCAATTGTTCTGTTTCATGAGGGGAGTCATCCAACAATTCTGCCCCTTGCTTTTCAATGTAAATGAAGTTCCAGTTTTATTTTCCCTGGACATTTTGTGGCAATTCCATGGAAAGAAAATAACTCACTTTCTGGTCTCAACCGGCCACCACCCACTTTATTTATCTCCATAAATCCACCTATCTTGTACCCTCCTGTGTTTGTAGAGTTTCCCCTGCCTTCAGCACATCCATCCCCAAAATGAAGAGTCTCTCCCCTCCAGACAGAAACTATCAGCAATTACAGTGCTCAATCCATCAGGTTTTTGCAGTCATTCTACCTTTTATACTCTGCAGAGGATACTAAACCCAGCATACTGGTCCCCATTTACAACCTCAGCAAATACAAATAACTGAATCCCCATTTGGGTTTGATTGAGCATGTGGATATTAGGCACTAGCCCTAGCTGAGCATCCTTGCTCAGCTTGGTTGCCAGAAGTGTGGCAGGTAAGAGCCAGAAGAATAATGAAATCATAGAATGGTTTGGGTTTGAAGGGACCTTAAAGAGCATCTGGTTCCAGCCCTCCCTGCCATGGGCAGTGACATCTTCACTAGCCCAGGTTGCCCAAAGCTCAATACAACCTGACCTCCAACATTTACAGTGATGGGGCATCCACAACTGCTCTGAGCAACCTGGTCCAGTGACTCAACATTCTCATGGTAAATTTCTTCC